CAGTCCTAAACTAGTCTCAAACCAAGCTTAAAAATAGTCTAAACTAAGCCCAAAAACTAAATTGGATTTGTTAGCTCTGACCAGAAGCCATTAACAGCCACAGAAGTCCATGTCATAGGGGCCTTTCGCTAGCTAAACCCCCACAATGCTCTCTGCTTGCCAACATGAACTTCCCGTATTGACCACCTCCTCTGGTCGCCACAGTATCAAACAGTGAGAGGCTTCACCTGGTGGAACAACCAGGTACTACAGCAACAACTACATTTTTTGACATGCATGTCCTCCGTCTTCCACCTTATGGATTAATATAGCTGTAATTGGATACATTTTTAACGTACAATAGTCAATCTTTTACCTCTTCAAAATCTGATTACTGTTGCATTCCAGAGTTTATCTCAACAGTGTTAGGTGTCTCACCATGAATGTGCTGGTGTTTACCTCTGAACTGTTTGGTTTCTAACCAGAGGGGTTTATTACACGGCAAGATTAATGGGTTAGCGAAGTATGTTGAGCCGTTTTTCAATGTGCTTTGCTTTATCACAAGGGTAACGGATGCTGCACAGCTAACATTTTTGAGAGATGGTTTGGTCAGAGTTTGGGAATTGCTTAGTAACACCACTGAACCAAGCAATGCAGTTACAGCAGGCAAACTGAATGCACTGCATTGCCATAGGAACCCGCATGCATTCAGTTAGTGATGCAGGAAATGCATAAATATATTTGTATGTTTTGTCCCAGTTTGCTACCCAGTCCCTTCTGCTCTGCTATTATTGCAACTGATCAAATACAGACTAGAAAATTGGTGTATATTATGGTTTCTTTCCTGGAGTCTGAAAACACTTGCTTTCGGTCCTTGCATCGACCTCAATTGGTTTCTAACCCGATGTATGCCAACGGATACATTCCCTGTCTCGGTTTTAATCTTATTGAGGTTTCTGACCCTCTGCATCTCTGTACTTATATATTTGCAGGGTAAAACTGTTTGAGGGGATGGACATGGTGGCGGACTCTGGCGTTGTGATCGACACCTCCATGAGAGGAGGCCGGCTCGGTGTGTTCTGCTTCTCCCAGGAAAATATCATCTGGTCCAACCTGCGCTACAGATGTAACGGTACAACCTCCAATCACATCATTTTATTTTGGATGTAAAAACTAATTAGTCTCATTTTGTCTGTAAGGTAGAGCGGGTTATCCTTTAACCATAAGGACTTCAGTTTTCGATACCATGTTCCCAGTTTCCAGTTCGCAAAAATGGCGGTATTAGTCAGCAAAAGCACTTTCAGCCAGGAAACTAGGATCCACATCCCATGTAGTACCAATATTCTTTGCTGGGAAAAATACTGGGAAGTGGTGGGTCAACAGGATGGTGGTCCAAGCCCCAGTGGCCTCACGCGCCATTGTTTGGCCCTTGAGCAGCGCCCTTTATCCTCTCTGCTCCAGGGGCACCTTATCATGACTGAATCAATATTTCACTGTGTTGTAAAGGATTTGTGACAAATAAAGACTTCTTTCAGTAAGAGGTTTCTAAGAAACTGATCACAGTGTTTTAAAGTGTAAAATTTGTCTGCCAGCTCTGTTAAAGTATTTTCCAAACATCTGCTAAACAACACTGATGCATTTTTATCATCTTGTGCGATCTTATGAAACCTTGTCCTGTTAAAAGAGTGTAACCATTCCTGATATGATCATTTCAGCATTGAAGTGCGATATAAAATAGGACAAATTAGCACAAACACATCAAGCAGCACCTTTTTTTCTGCTTGATGCAAAAAGACAACTCTAAAAGTGATCTCTTAAAGAGAAGTCTGTCTGATATTAATTACTCAGATTTAAAGTTTCTTGGCTGCATTGAAGGGTTTATTTATTTATTTATTTATTTATTTATTTTACTTTATTTAAAACACAAAGTTTGTTGACATGCAGGCTCCACATCTGCACAGTGAAATAAGTGAGGAACATGAGAAAGACACTGAAAAGGAACATTTTGTTGCAAAAAGAAACACAGTTATAAGGCTGCACAATTAATGGAAAATTGATCACCATTTGGTGTAAGACAGAATCATCTGGTTTCAGGTAATTGTTGACATTAGAACACGTTATTTCACTTTTTAAACTAAGTTTTGGTCTCACATCTACCTGAGCTGCTGTAGTAACAGACGGAGACAAGAGGCTTCTCTGTGCACAGCCGCCCAGATAGCTTCTACTGCAGCCTTGCATGTGAGGTGTTTTGTGGTGTCTCTTCACATGCAGATGTTCAACAAGTGAGGCACTTTGGACATAACTTCATTTATATTCATCTTCTATAAGATGCTCTGGATTCAGGTGAAGATTATTTTAAGTCTGATTTTGACAGAGGAATGTATCGAACGTGGAAGTGAAAGCAGAGTTTGTTTGTTTTTTTAAATGTGAAAGCACAAAAAGTGTTTCCCTAAAATAAGTAACTAATTGTGAGAAATTATCATGGTTATCATTTTGGTCTGAGTCATGCAGCCCTAGTCAGTTGTAGGGAAATATTTTGGGTACATTTTTAAAATTTCCCTTTCAGATGCACTCCTCTACAAAATCACCCCAGTCATCCTAGAATCATTATGTCTTTCCCGATAAAGTTATTCAAGTCATTTGGTTAAAATTCTTACATTTTTTCATATCGCAGAACAACAAAATATGACTTTTTTTTTTCTCCAAAACTGTGCCACCCTGCGTTGAATTGCTGTTTAATCTGGAGGATGCATGAATATGCGAACTCATAATTGATCTGTAATAACAGACTGAATAACTTTAACTTGTTTTTATTTCAGACACGGTGCCTGAAGACTTCCAATCTCATCGTAAACAAGTTATGATGCACATTCAGGTCTGAGAGCTGCAGAAGGACTATTCACACACACAACACAAATACACAGATACACACATCCCCAAACACTTTAACTGTAGTCTGAATGTGAGCTGTGTGTGTGTGTGTGTGTGTGTGTGTGTGTGTGTGTGTAGGTGTGTGTGTGTGTGTGTGTGTGTGTGTTTGTGTGTGTGTGTTGCATGAATGAAAGGGAAGTCGTTGAAAGAAACCAGTCATCAGAGAGGACAGTCTGGAGAAACACGGGAGCGCCTGAACGCACCATCAGTGTCGGTTTATGTGACCTTTAATTGTTTGTTTATGTATTTACATACAGGTTAAGTAAAGAGAAAACCTCATTTAAAATCTATGTGACATTTTCAACTAATACCTAAACATTTATTGAATTTCCCTTCTGGAATAAATAAAGTATTTTTCATTTCGTTAATTTTTCATTCATTTAGCTTTGGAACTGAGTTTTCTATCAACAGTTTGTCAAGTTAAGTTTCACAGAACAACTGGAGGCCAACACTACAGAGCAAGTTCACCATACCCAAGATAGGTTTTTTTTTTCTGGCTTCACTAAATTGAACAACACAAGTCACACGGAGTTATCAACTCAGTAAGTCATCTGGGTTTTAAGTGCTTTCACATGAGAGGGGCGAAGTTGGCAAGAGATAACTAATCACAATAATGGACAGGAGGTGAATATTTCTCACCAGGAGAACAAGCTACAATCCAAAACCAATAAAAGGAGTTTTAAAAATATAATACGAGCTGAAAGCAACACAGCTGGTGCAGCCAAAGTCAGAAGGGAAAGGAAGGAAGACTCAAGCTTGTTTAGCGGTTGGCTTCTTCTACTCTGTTTAACAGAGCTAACACAGCCTATAGCCACCTTTTGGCAACACAAGGCAGTCTGGTTTATCGACTCAAAGGAATTTTATTTTTTTTACATTTTTTTTAATTTAGCAATTCTCGACAAACACAGCTACTAATATCTTAAATTGTTTCAGAACAATAAGAAGAATTTTCTTTTCTCATGTGTCCCTGATAAAATATTGAGCTTTTTGTGTTAATCGTTAGTCCTCAAATGTTATCCGACCGTCCAGTCTGTAGAAAAAAAATATTCCTGGAGGCTGTAGTATAAGATGTTGAAATGTTTCCTCTTAATGAATGGTACGTCAGTGTGCACATCATTCAGTCGTGTTTCTCCAGACAAACTCCTGCTTTGGCTCCTCACTGATCTGAGTCCAATTTGAGATTGCAGTTTGAGTTCATTAGTGACGTTTAAACATGAAAACAGTCCTGAATTTTGTCGGCTGGAAACACACGCATTTCCTCAGGACTGTGCAGCCATTAAGGATTTTTTTTTTAATAAGATGAAGGAGCAAAGAGGAGATTTTTGTCTTCAAATCATAAAATCTCAGTTTAACTGATCCACAAACAGCAACAACGATAATTCCAGGCCTCTACCGACCTAGACAACCCTGCTGAGACCTGATAAGCTAACGTTACACAGGGGAGACGCTTTGATTTGAATGAAAAGTTGAACGCAAGTTGTTGTGTATTTTCAAAATGTACATAACTTTGTTGAAATAAACTACCCAACCAAGACTTTTCCTACAATCCTGTTTTTTTGTTTCATGATTTTTACAACACAAAGAATGACTCATCCAATGTGGAACTGTTGAGAGTGGGTTTTGTTTTATGAATCGTAACATTAATAATCCATCCATCATATATACATCGCTTAATCCTCACTAGGGTTACGCGGGGCTGGAGTCTATCCCAGCTGACTTAGGGCGAAGGCAGGGGACACTCTGGACAGGTTGTCAGTCTATCGCAGGGCTACACAGACAACCACGCACACTCACATTCACACCTACGGACAATTTAGAATCACCAATTAACCTCAACATGTTTTTGGTCTGTGGGCGGAAGCCAGAGAACCCGGAGAGAACCCACGCTGCACGGGGAGAACATGGAAACTCCAAGCAGAAAGATCCCGGGGGTCCTCACTGGGACGCGAACCGGGGATCTTCTTGCTACGAGGCAACAGGGCTAACCACCAAGCAACGTTGCAGCCCTAACATTAACAATAAAACAGAAATAGTTTAAATTTATCTTAAACATCTAAAGCACAATGTTTTACAATTTTTTGTCACTTGTTTATGTAATTTGCAGTCAGAAAGAAACTACTGGTCAAATAAAAGTTCACTATAAATCTAAATTTGGTACCTTGTACACAGCTACTCCAACATTTGGATGTTATAACTTGTCACACGTCAGGTGTTTTATCTCCCCAGCTCTTCTACAGTGTCCTTTAGCTGCAGGATGCTAACATTAGGGAACTAGCAATAAACACTGAGGCTGATGGTCAGAAACCAAAGAGCTGGACACATTAAAACTAGCTGGAGGAAAGCTGAAAGGATTGCCATATTTGAGTCTGGACAAATCTAATTTAATTAATTAATCATTTATTGCCACGTTATTTCTGTTTTGGCATAGTTTGCACAGGAGAATGTTCATGTTTATGTGTGAAAGCACACAAAAGATCTCATCTAAAAGAGGAGGTCTGACTTGTACACATAAACCACCATCTTGGTTAAAAATACCTATGTGATCCTGCAGCAGACAGAAAGTGACGAATGAAATAAAGTCTTTTTGTTGTTTTATTGTTCCGTTGGGAGGAATGTCGCCACAGCAGATAAAACCACCAGTTAGTTCATGATCTTTGTTCTACCTCAACTTTGTGATCTCCGGGTGGGATTCTCCCCTTACAGTCCTGAGGTGGGGGGTCGTGACCCCTGGGCCGGGGAGGCCGGGACGAGTGCAATATTGGAGGAAGAACATGACAACAGTGCACTGCATCCTGGACCTGCCCGACCCCGGGAGGAAACACTCTGCAAAACCTGAAACAGACAAGCTCCATCACTTCAGAGTACATTTTAATAACCTACAGTAATTAATTTTATGGAGACTTACTTTAAACTCAACCTAACCTTGACTTAACATCTACCTAAACCTATCTAACTTATCTTTAAACTAGATCTCACCATGATTTAACACCTAGATCTACCCTTGATTTTAACTTAACAAAACCTGGACCCAACTTTGATTTAAACTTAGCTTGAACTAGATTTAACCTCAATTTATTTTAAACCTAACCCATACATAACATTAAACTAAACCTAACCTTAATTTAAGTTTAACCTAAACCAAACTTTTGTATAACCTTAAACTCGACCTAACTTTGAATTCAACTTAACCTAACTTTAACTCAATCTTACAGTACACCTAACCTAACAGCAATAAACAGTAGTTACTGGGTGAACTTTATTTCTATGAGCACAAAGGAAGTAGAACAATGGAGGTTTATTACTTTAGTCTATAGTGATTTACTGGCATAGGCGCTTGTTGGTTCTTGTTGTCCTCTTTGAGTTTCATCAATCAGTGTCGAGACCTGAATGGCACTTTTTCAGGACAGCCTAGAAGCACCTGCCTTGGAGTAGGTACTTTTTTCTACCCTGAAAGAGGTTATAAAGGGATTGTTCTTGTGGTTGGAACATGCACCTTAAAACCCCTCAGTTGCAGCAGTGGAAAACTGCCTCATGTGACCGTGTAACTACATTAAGTGGCATTTTTACAGCACAGAGTGAAATTACTGAACTAAACTGTTTTTTTAGCTGTCAAATGATTGCTGAATGACATGCTTGTTCAGTTGATCAGAACTCAGTCCTGCAGTACTTTACAGCTCAACCCTGTTAATGCTGCTAAGGTTTAATGCCTTCACACTCAGCTCTAAATTTGGGCCGAGTAAAAATTCTGCCACTGTGTTGTTAATACAGCAGGATACTGGCCCTCAAAGCAGAGCTCATCTTGATTTAAACTGAGACTAAACCTAACTTTAACATGTTAAACTAAAGCTATTCTTGATTTAAACTTAACTTGAAGTTACCTTTAACCTATTCTGGATTTAAACTCAACTTCAACTGCACTATAAACTAAAACTAACCTTATTTTAATTCAAACTAAACCTACATCAAACTTTAGCCAAACATTAAAAGCTAGCCTTGATTTATTTTAAACTTAACCTAACTTTACCCTAACCATAAACTAAATCAAACCTTGATTTTAACTTAACCTAAACCTAACTTCAACTCAACATTAACCCAGACCTAACTTTGATTTTAACTTAATCTAAAATTTTAATTTACGTTTAACCAACCTAAACCTAGCTTTCAACCTCCTGTTAATGCTGCTAAGATTTAACGCCTTGACACTTTCAGTTCCAAATCTGGGCCCTGTGAAAATTGTGTTCTTTTATTTTTTAACGGCATCTTACATCTTTTGAAAGCACAAAGTATCACAATTCATTTTCTATGTGACGACAAACACCACAACAACAGCAGCAGCAGCAATAATCCCTCATTTTGTCATACGTGTGTGCACGTCAGAATTGTTTGTCCATGTTGTCCATAGGAGTACAAACTATTTATCTCTATTTATATATCTCAATAGCAGCAACAGCATACGAACCCCCTTTTACCCTAACCAGATGTTTAGGTTGCCATAACCTTACAATACTTTCTATCTGTTGGCACAGCTTTTGTCAGAACTTACTGTAGCGACTATACGCTCATTTTTAAACCTCCACAAAAAATGAAAATAGTTGTTTTTACAGTTGGTTTGAGTCTGCTGCAGGCTTTCTTCCTCTCTCTGGTTCTTTATGACTCTGGCTGGATGTCTGAGCTTGTTGTCCTGTTGCAGCATAAGTGTGGTAAGAATCTAAAATCTATAATTACTATTAGAACAGTTTCATACAAGCACAGTTTATCAATCGCATATATGAAGTGGGTGTCTGCAGATGCCTAATTTAATGCCATAAAATGTCTTAAAAAGTCTTCTTTTTTTTTTTTTTTTTAAATTATAATTAATTCAAGATTTTGGATGCTTAATAGCTTGTTTCTTTTCATAAATATTTGTGGGACACAGCCCACTTCTGAAAAATGTTTTATCTTTTGAGTTGCGCATCAGTCAGTATTTTGGAGAAAAAAAATCACGTTACTTTCGAGACTGATTTAAGACATATCCTTCAGCCCTGTTCTGCTGACCAAAAGGAGTAAATATTTTAATCAAGCATGTACTTTACAGACAGCAGTTGTAGTTTGTCATTCTTAATTGCTGTTTTTTTGCAGAAACGGTACACAATAAAAAGTGACTGCAGCAGAGTTAACAAGCTGCTAATGTGCATGTGTTGAGTCCAAGCAGGCAGACAAAAGACAAACACAGAACTACAATTACACTACATAAAATTGCATGTGTGTGTTTGTGCATGTGTGTATATATTCTTAGAAATGACCAGTTTTAACTGAACATCTTATCCATATTTAAATGTTGGATGTGGGGATGATTTAGATGCATGTTAATGACTTTATATAAATGGCATGATGTAACCAAATGAAGTACCTAAATATAAATGATATAAACCTGATTCCTGCCATTCACATAGATGATTAGAATTTAAAGGCCTTTAATAAATACTTTACATTAATTTAAGAATGTAGAAAATCTTAAGTCACGTTCAGGAGGTGTTTGGTTGTTTATTTTCCTCCCAAAACCTTGAATCTTTGTAGCCTTTCTGTTTTCACTCACTCAAAATCGCCTGATGAAGCCCCAGTTTAGAGTCTGAAAGCAACAACATCTGAGTTTCACACAGCAGAGAATTTCCAGCACAACCTGTGAGATAATCAGCATTTCTGGCAGATTTCATCATGAAACTCTGGATCAGATTATTTTCCCGTTCAGACTGAAACTAATGTAAAAGTGGAGGAGAACTCACCTCAGCAGCCTCTGTCCCTCTGCCCGGCTGCTCTGTGGAGGGTCTCGGTCTGTCAGCGGTGCTTTTGCTGTGGAGCCCCCTCCACCCCTCCACACTAACAAAGGCTGTGAGCTGCTCAGTGAGGCGTGGAGGGGCCCTGCTTCACGCTTAAAGGGCCATCCACTTAACCTGCTGCACACAAATTAATCATCATTCAAACTCACAGAACTTTATTTCAGCCAGCAACGAACACATGAGCCAGAGCTGAAACAGATGATGCAGAGAAACTTTGTGATTTATTGTCCCAGCTGCCTGCTGCAGCTCTGACGACGCCACCTGCAGGTTGAAGCCACCTGAAATCCCTTCAGACAGCAGCAGGTGGTTTCACTGCAGCCCCACGAGTCATTGCTGCTCCCTGCTGTGTGTTGTGGGTTACTGCAGGAAGCATTCTGCAAACGCTCTATTTAACGGAGTTTCGGACATATTTTTCCTCACTCATTTTATGCTGCAATATAAAGTGCTGCACCGCTATGAAAACAGCACAACCATGAAGAAGGAGAGAAATCTTAGAAATTTCTAAAATTGCTGAGATCATGAAAACTGGTGAATTTCTTTTTACAAAAACTGGGGGAAAAAAATTTATTTTTGTTTTCTCCAACAGTCACATTGTAAATATTTTTTTTCTTAGTTGCTATCTGTAAATTAACAGAACTAATAAAATCTGTAAAATAGCAATTAAAATTTTATTTAAAAGCATTTTTAAAATCCTGAATATATACATATATATAAAAGCAAACAAACTGAAAATTATGTAATCTATTAAACATTTTTAAAGGAAAAATTACAATTTGAAAACATACTGGTTTTTGATACTGGCATTGTTTACATTGTTTTG